CCCTACGCTAATTCCACTTGGCAAATCCTTAGCTTGTGGTATAGCCAATACTTCGACCATCCTGTACACCCTCTGCTATCAACCTATCACCATACGCACTGTTAAAAATCTCCAGAATTTCACATCCCCCCCCCCCCATTTTTATCCAAACTTTGAACATTCTTCGATAGTCTCATGCTTATTAATTGTGGGTGATACACGAGTTGTGTCAAAAAAATCCAGTAATAGAAGTGACCAAAACAAAAATGTTTTTCGAATAAACTGTATGTTGGAAATGTTTGTTTGGGATCTACCCTTAAAAATCCCTAAATTTGCATTTCTTTAATTTTTCCTCGAAAATCATAAGACGCATCAAGAAAAAAGAATTTATCCTACCTCATTGTACTAAAACATGTATTGTTTGAGAAGATTATCATTAAATTAAGTAGAAACAAGTAGCCTGGATAATGATGAGCATAAACGGTAAGTGTTCGTGTGTTCTAGCCAAGAAATATTGGATAGGATGTTGTAAACCCTACAGATTTTTCTAAAATTCCTACCTCAAGAAAACATTTGGACATCGACAACATTTGGTATTGGTCATATTTTAACATGAACTGGAAGTGAACATTTTTCCAAACAAAGATTTTTCTATTATCGACTGGCAATGGTTGAAACTGAAACCGGATCAAGCTTCGAATGATAAAATTCTACAAAGAACACACGAAATAACAAGACGGTTAAGGGAAAACGGCCGTATTTACGTATAAAGAGAGAAAAAATGTCATAAAAATAGGGCGAATCTCCAGAAACAATGCTTATACATCAAACTATTGAAATTACACCTTCACTGAAATTTTTAGCGATGCGCGCAACAGGTCTTAAACGGGCCGATCAACAAGTACCAGAAGGAAAAAGAAGTGAAAATATGCGCATCCAACGAACCTGAATGAATTGTCTATTTATGATAATCATAATTCGCCATGCACGAATCCGATTTGAATTGACAAATACAGTGAACCTCAAACAAATACAGTGAGTACTCGACCAATAATAATTTATATATACCTAAGAAAATCAAACTGTTATATAATCTATAACTCTCGACAGGAAAGATTGCCGGTCACAGCACACCTTGTGTCGATCTACAATCTCTGTTTTCCGAACTTCCGGAATAGGATCGTGCCAATGTTGAACGAAAAGCCTTTTTGTTCAACATTGACACGATACTATCCCGGAAGTTGCTCACATCTTTAGAAAAACATAGATTGTAGACCGGGATCAAGTGTTCTGTGACCGGCAATCTTTCCTGGCGAGAGGTTTATATGCGGTTTTTGTCCTGTGTTTTGAAACAAATGCGCGCAATCGTGATTTTCGTAAGAACTGTACAAAATTGTTCACAGTATTTTTCTTCTTTTCTTTTCTTTTGTTTTTTTATATTTTACTACTCTTTATGTTTTCGAATAGTTTTTTCAATTCATGATCGATCATCATCAATCGAATGGATAATATACGAACTTACCTATTTCCGCAGCGAAATTGATGTTCTTTGACTCAGGAAATGTGATTCCAACCGATTTATCTTCTTATAGGGAGTAACCACTCAATCTGGTTGATAATCAAACCTCATATTTTACTAAATGGTTGTGTCACAGTTTTCCAAGTACCTATAAATTATTATTGGTTGAGTATCACTGTATTATTTGTATGAGATTCACTGTATTTGAGAATTCAGGTGCGTGGTGAATTATCTTGGTGCATTCATTCAGATCCGTTGAATGCACATGTGAGTTTACATTTTCACTTCTTTTTTTTGTGGTATTGGTTGATCGGCACGTTTAAGAGCAGCTGCGTGGAGGAAGGTGTAATTGCAATAGTTTAGTGTATAAGTATTGTTTCTGGAGATTTACGGGATTTGTATCTGATCACGCCGAATTAGTTTTGGATCGAGATTCATTTTTTCTCTCATGTGGAGGCTATAAATTGAGTTCATAGTATATACGTAAATACGGCTGTCTTTTTATCTGTAGTGTTCATTTTAGGATTTTCCCATTGACCCGGTTTAAGTTTCAACTGTTGCCAGTCGATAATAAAAAGGATTTCCAATGTAATTAAATTTTATGCGATTTATTATTACGTATTAGGGTTTTCAGTTTAATTTCACAAATCGGTTTTTTTAAACCACGTTACATTTCTTAAAAAAAGGTTTTGAAGCATAAGTTGTTTTATTTTTTTTTTAATTACAGAAGACTGATTCATTTTATTAATTGACTACGAAACTAGTTCGCACTTACTCTTTTCTCTAATTTGACCATTGTCCTTATTTTGGACACAATGTATACAGTGATATTTATTAAGAAGTAGACATAGCGATTTACGCATATTGTTTTTCCCTATGTCTACTTTTATATGACAAAATCTCTTCTGAAGAGCACCTAATTTTATGCAATCAAAATAAGTTATAAAACCAAAAAAATGATCTGGCTGTCATAATTTGAATGTGTATAATATAAACATTTTAAGACAAACGGAACCAACGGAATTTCTGCGACCGGCGTCCCCATTAAACAATAATAGATCAGCGTCTTCTGTTTACACTGCAGTTTTGTATCGGCTAAACGGAATCGCGGAACCAGGATAGCATTTTGGTCCACGCGTCCTAGATTCTCTCATTTTTAATGAAGGCATCCAAACTTTAATTCACAACCTTTTTCGCGTTTGATTTATATGTGGTTAACTTCGCTACTGGTGATGCACGCAACTTTCTCCGCAAATACTACAGATGATCGACTGCGCTGACTGCTTCACCTTAATTTTTTAACAATACGCTTGCGCAAACGCTCTGGCGGTTTTTGAGGCGAAATCTCTTGCGGATCAATACGAATTCACTCGCGGCTTTATCTCAATTGCATGACGGCTGTCTCTGAACGACCAAATTCCCACTACTTTACGTTTTTTGAGTCACACCCATCCCCTCTTCCGCCAAACAAATATTTTTTCCAAAGTTAGCGGACGGTGCGTAACAAGGTTGATAACTACGCAACTACCCTTTCAAAATCGTTCCGTAATTCTAGCTAATCTCGTTACCTTCCACGACTTCTCGGCGCATTTAATCATATTTTAGGAACAAAAATTCAATTCGAATCAAATAAAATAAAATAAAATATAAAATTTATATTGTCCCATTTATGGCTGTCATTTTTCAAATTAAAATCTCTTATTATTTAAAAAAAAAATCCGTTACCGGGTTCCCTTTACACCTTATTCGAAATAGTGTTGTTACTATTTATTTTCTCACCCTCGTTTAGCGCGCGCCATCTCCGGGTAGGAATTTTAGTCTAATAGAAGTTTCGACGTAAACGTTTGTCAAACAGTAACGGGAGAAGGCTCAGACAAGACAACCAATTTATTTAAAGTACCAAATTTGAGTGGAATTTTAGCAAATTACTAACGATCGATCAATAGCGTAATAACGTAATGCAGTTGAATCAGCTACCCCTCGAGTTAAAAAAAGTTATAAATAACCACGTTAGCGATAATCAAATTTTACCCATACGCGCAAATTAGCTTCAGCGAAATACAAAGCACAGCCACGAATTTTTGCCGCAATATATTTCCACTTAATTCGTAAATATGTTTATATCCGCTCGAAGTAAATATTATTCACAATATCCTCATAATTCGGCTTTATGGCCATATTAACTTATTTTCATCGAAATTTATTAGGCGTTCATCGCCGCTTCATTAGATTGTACGTGTATAATCCTTTTTGTTTATGATACATTTTGCTTTGCGTAATTACGCTGTGCGCCGTAACAAAAAATAATTACCTACAAGCCGAATTTTCGACATGTGAGTTTTGCAAAATACTGTCTACCACGTTAGAAATATCGTATGATGATTGATGTAAAATGCGAGTTCTGTGTTACCGTCCCCCAGCACACGCCAATCCACTTTGTATAACGTGAAATAAACGCATCTAAAGCCGCGTGCGTACGTTCGCCTTAATATTTGCACTGCCAGCTCAGACAAAGCGTAATAACTTTCGCCAGTAAATGCCATTTTACGAGAAACTCCATACTCCATATTCCTGAAAGCCCGTAATAAAACTCAAGTAGATGGCACGAAAAAGATGTCAATGTATTAGAATTTTAAATTGCGTTTTATATACTGCGGGTTATTTTATATGTTTCAGAAGAGCCGTTTCGGTCAATATAGTACTCTAACTAGTTTGATTGCGAATAATTCACTAATATTATTTTTTTAGGAAAATTAAGGAAGGGTAGAATGCATCACGTCACAGTTGCCACGTTCTTGGTTTTACCATTGAATATAGTGTTTTTATTCAATGGTTTTACTAAGTACGAGCATTGAATAAAAACACTATAAGAAGCCTAACGCCAGGTAAATAAAACGCGACGGACGATTGAATTGAGATATAGGCGCTCCACCGTCGGTCTTGAACTGTGAAGAGTGAGAATTTGCTTTCCCCAGAGTCTTCAGTATAATTTGAATCGCCGTTGCGTACGTATCGTGCTGTTACTATAATTAGTAACGGCTGTATAAGGTTGTAAGATTTTTGCCGCGCAAGGCCAAAGTCTAAAGACGAAAGATCTATAAAAATAGGAACTATGATAATTCCTTGCGTATAGTAATGTTATAGATTGAACCTTTCTTAATACAAACAAAATATTATTGAAAGAGATTGATTTCTGTAAACGCTAGAGCCGTTGTTGTAGTTTTTGTCGCTATTAAGCATTTCAAAACCACTCACTTTAAGTACTTTAAAAATACACTTGAAAACTTTACTTGTCATATTATTGAAAGCTGTGCTAGCCTGCTGACAATCAGCTTACATTGGTAGTCTGGTGGCCACTGCATTTCAATTATCTAAACAATAATTGAATATGTAACCAACTTTCCAAACAAGTCCTTTTTACACTTGTTGTACTGTAAACAACATTGATTATTGTTTTTATTGGGAAATCTGCGTATTAAATTTTATATACTTAGTGTGATTAATTCGAAATGGCAGATTTTATGCTATTAATTTTTAATGTTATCAACAATGAAGAAAGGTACGTATGAATATGAATATTTACATACATGCATTTTACACTATAGTGTTGCGATTTAGGATTAGAATGAATTTAAACAGAAGACAACTTCGTGATATGAGTGATCCATTTTCGCTTACTGAAGAAACCTTCAAAGGAATTTATAGATTGTCCCGGCAGCTGACTCGTGATTTGATGACAGACTTATCACCCTTTCTGCAGGATAATGAAAGAGTTTTGGGCATTCCTAAACATTTAAAAGTATGTTCTAAATAATCGGATTATGTACATTCTTGTACCGTCCTATAAATGTTGTAGATTTTGGCCACATTAAATTTTTTGGCTCAAGGGTCTTATCAGAAGGCTGTTGGACAGGACTTCTTCTGTCCAATGAGCCAAAAGTCTGTAAGTCGATGTGTAGAGGAAGTAACAGGTGCTTTAGTTGAACATTCAGGAACATCCATACCACTGATTACAAGTTTAGTAATGATGTTTAAGAGCCAATTTTCAATTTCATTTAACTGTATATCAATAGGCATCCCACCACCTGTTTGTAACCGATGTACATACAACTCTCTGGCTTTTCTCTTTGTTCTCGAGGTCCATTCCGTAAAACTCTATAGAAAATTGAATACTTAAATATATCCTGAAAATAAAGAAAGGTAACTACACCTTTTTCCACTCCTCTACACTTTTGGTTGCCCCCTTTGAGTTATTAAGAATATTACATAACTTGGCAAATTCCTCAGTTGGTATCTCTGTTAGGCACTTAAATTTTTCTAACTGTTTTAAATAAATTTTAAATTGTTCAACAGTTATTTTTGTTTTTCTTTCTAAAATATATATTTATCAAAAGTTGTGTGTACAAAAAACAGTATACAATATGTAAATAAAAATTAAATTAATGACCAATCAATTTTAAGTATGTGCCTTTTTTTCAAAAATATCGCAAAATCTGTGGATACCTCGGGCAATTTCCTGTAGGGCAGAAGCAACCGCCAGAAGACCATCCCTTTGCTCAGCTTGTCCATGCGCGTAAGCATTGAGTAAGGGGTGTTTCATTGAACCTTAAAAAGTAATATATTGAATTATCATATTCGGAAACATTTATTTCTTACTCTTTGTGGTCTTTGGGGTAGCTCTTTTTATGTTCCCCTGAACCTTAGGAGTAGAGGATGGATCATCAACATCCTCAAAATCATCATCACACATTTCAATATGGGTTTCCTACAAGTATTGGGTTTAAAATATTAAAAGAATGTACCACATTTATGTATATAAATACCTGGTGCCCTGTCAGAGTTATTACTACATCGTCATCTGCATTAATCGGTGCTTCGGTGTCTTCAACACCTAGTTCTTGTACCGATGTAATTCCTGACACAGCCACAACACCTGTAGCTTCCAGATATCTTTTTTCCACTTCAGAGAGTAATTTTCCTTCTCGAGCTCTTTTTTTGACAAGAGACTTCCATTCAGTAAAAACCTACACAGTTATTAAGAAATAAGTTTAAAGCTATAACCAAACCGACTGACCTTTTTCCAGCCTTCCACCGTTCTTACAGGTCCACTCCCACAAGAATTTAATTCATCAACGAGAGACGTCCAAAGTTCTTGTAGGATTTCAGGGTTCATACCTGGCTTTAACCTGCCAGTCACGAATAATTTATTATTTTCCAAAGTGCGCACATAAATTTCAAACTGTTCTTTTGTTGTTCGTTTCTTAGCCATTTTAATACCTATTTTCAGAACTAATTATGTGATTTGGTTAATTTGATATATAAACGTAGATATATGGATAAATTGCATGTACTTTTGTGCCTATAAATCTGTAGCGTACTTTAAAGGTTATGTATTACACTCTACTAGAACTACAAAGGAGCATTTGGACTAAAAACAGCTAACTTCATACCATTATCATAATCAATAATCCATTCGATTTCAATATTGAAAATACGTTTACAATGTGGGATTCAGACTACCAAATTTAATCAATATTGTTAACTTCAAAGTTTTAATCTTACTTAGTAACTAATATTGTTTGCTAAACAATGGTCACCAGACTTAAGCTGATTGGGTGATCACGGGTAAATTGATGTTTTCAAAAAAGCATCTCCCAGGAGGAATAAGCGTTATTTTGGGAAATTAAAGTAGAGGTTATTTACACATAGAAACGGTAATAAACTATATTTTTATTCTCAATCGCTACCAAGATGTAACCAACAATAATTTATTATTATTATTCTCACCGTCTGGTTTTATTTTTACGGCTACAAATCCATTTTCTGTAACCAGTTATGCCACATTGCTTTATTAGGGTAGGTAATACTTGTAAACCGCATTCTATATTCTATATTTCCCATAGCTTTATCTTCTATCTTTAGAAGGGATATAAGTTCTTTTTAGCGCATTTCCACAAAAATAAAAAAAAAATGCGCTATTGTGGCTACTTTGTCCGTCCGTCCGTCCGTCCGCTAACTTTGCGACGCTACTAGATCTTTATCTTAAGAGCTATTGTTCTACTTTTTTCGCTATTTGGTTCGTTATGGTGTCGAGTCTTGTACCAAGGAAGGAATTTTTTCTGTACCGCTTACAAAAAAAGTTATTGTAAAAAAAAACAAAAAACCGTTTTTTACATGTTCCATAATTTTACCCTTTTGCCGTTTATTAACGATCCTAGAGATCATTTATAATTTTGCATTGCTATCTGTCGCCTGCCGGTTGGTCTCTCCGTCTGTTCCTTTGTCTGTCTGTCCATCTATCTCTCCGTGTGAACGATAACTTTGTTTAGAAATGTAGCATAGCTTTAGCCATATAATACGCAATGCCAAAAGTTGAATCGAATCGATTCAAAATTCACAGTGCCCTTTTCGCATCTCGGCCATTTATAAACCGAATTGCAAACTTTTTTACTTATAAAAGTATTTGAATGAAATTTGATACATAGGCACTTGGAATAAAGGAAAATCAAACGCCAATTTCAAAATTTGGTTTTGCGCATGCGCAGTGCCAACTTTTTTATTTATGGAAGAATTTAAACGAAATTTGATACATAGGCACTTGGGATAAAGGAAAATCAAACGCCAATTTCAAAATTTAGTTTTGCACATGCGCAGTGCAAACTTTTTTATTTATGGAAGAATTTAAATGAAATGTGATACATAGGTACTTGGAATAAAGGAAAATCTAGCGCCAGTTTCAAAATTTTATTTTGCGCATGCGCAGTGCCAACTTTTTTATCTATGGAACCATTTAAGTGAAATTTGATACTTAGGCGCTTGGAACAAAGGAAATAACATTAGTTATAAAATTTAGGTTTGCGCATGCGCAGTTCCAACTTTCTTATTTCGAAAAGCATTGAAATGAAATTCTTCTCATAAACTGAAATTGAAGTAGCACGTCAAAAATGGATTGCCCATGTGCAACGCTATCTTTCATATTTGTGGCCGGAGTTTTACGATTTTAACAGAAGTTGCATCTTATAAATGGGAAATGAATGCAAGTGGAAATGCACTTTATGTAAATCGTTTATGATTACTTTTTAACTTGTTTGGTATTTTGACCGGGTCCTTGCAGACGCCGGGCTCTCGTTCCACGGAACCCACAGAACCCTGCTAGCTGCGGCGCTGTTTTTAATCCTTGCGATTACTCGATTTTTCAAATCATTGTCGTCTACGTTTTGTGCTTTGGTAATTACCAGTGCAACAGGTAGTGCTTTGAAACTTCGGCAACGGTCGCCAGTGTTAAATTGTGTTAAATTTTCAATTGATTTGTAATTTCTAATAGCAAAGGACTGAAAATGACTAGTAGTACCAGCGTTCCAAGTTATAAGTGCGCGTATTTCGGATGTGGCATCAGTAATAGAAATAAATTATTAAATAAGATTAGTTTTTTCCATTTTCCGGTTAAAAATGATGAACTAACGAAGTTATGGAAAACAAATTGCGGTAATGTGAGTGTGCGCTTAATGGACAGTGAAACCTTAAAAAACTACGTGATCTGTGAAAATCATTTTAAAAGTGTTGATATTTATGCAAGTGGAAAGCGGAAATTGTTGCGAAAAAACACCGTACCCATTAAATATGTTAATGAAGGTAAGGATTAACTTTTTTACGACATATTTTGAAGATCGTCTATAGGTTAATATAGTTTTAGGCGGACTGAAGCGATTTTTTCTTTAACACCGCTTTATTTTCAGGATTTCAATTTCCCACGCCTGCAGCTATCAACACATATAAACGGCATCGTTCCCCTAGCAGTAGCAACTCCAGATTAAGTTCGGTTTCCGAAAACAGCCCAAAAAGAAAAATATTTCATGCTTCAAGTAGCGATGAATCATCTCGTGCTTCAAGTTCGATGCTAAATATGCCCACAATACTAGAACTGACGTTGACAAGAGAGAATAAGAGGCTTAAAGAAAAAATCTCTACACTGCAACACAAATTGAACAAATTTCGATCCGTGAAGCACAGATTAAAGACGAAATCTAAAGTGAAATCAATAGGTATGTTTGAAATTACTTTATTTTTGATTCAGGATTTTTGAAAAAGTTTTCTTTTCTTTTAATCCCTGGAACTTCGACTCCGATGACCTCCTTTCAAAAAGATTTTAATTTTGATCGTCTTTCTACATCGATCATTTATTACATTCCATATACCTATCTGTTATGCTTTTCGTTAGATTTTAAATTTTCTATAATTAGATATGACCGATGCATAATTTCCTTAGGAGTCTTTGAAATAAATTAGTAGACCATAAGTAAAAAAAAAGATTTGATTTTTAAAATTCAAAATTATGATTACATTTTTTTAAAAATTTTTTACTTTTCCGCACATATGACTCCGATAAGTATTGTTCTCATCACAGCAAAATCCAAAGTCCGACGATGATGTTGTCCGACTTGTTAGCACGATAACTTAAAATATAATGGGATGGGACAAATTATGTTTTACTTGCCGCTGCATGACGACACCTATTAATTTTCAGACCGGATGTCCGATTTGTTCTGCGTATGCGTACAAGTAACTCTGTTATTTATGGATAGATTTTGTTGAAATTTTAACAATAGCACCTTTTACTAAATGCAAATTGATGTATTAAATAATACATATCAACAATTACTGCGCGCATGCGCAGAATTAACTTTCTTATTTGTGATCCACTCCTACTGAAATTTGAACAGTGCCACCTTTTCATAGAGACAAATCGATTAAACATGTAAAAAACTGCATGAAACTGTTAGGTCTCAACGGATGTTAACGTGCGGAAAAGTTAAGTTTTTAATACATACAGATGGACTGAACAAGAGGGAAATATTTTTAATTTTTACGCAAAAAAAGTCATTCTTTATAAAAATTTTTGCTTGCCTCAAAACCACCTATTTTGAAATAAAAATCTACCTAGATATTCTTTTTAGCAGCTGCGAAAATTAGAAAAAACGCAGAATTTTCCGCTGTAGATTTTGTGTTTTTTGTAATTTTCTCAGTTGCTAAAAGGAATATCTAGATTTTTATTTCAGAATAGGTGGTTGTGAGGCAAGCAAAAATTTTTATAAAGAATGACATTTTTGCGTAAAGTTAAAAATTTGTTCCCTCTTGTACAGTCCATCCGAGGACACACTGTATAATTTAGTATTTCTTTTTTTATTTTTAGATGCCACATTGCAATACTCGTTGCAAAATAAATCCACGTATGTAAAAACTTTTGTTCTTTCCCAATTGAGTCACAACAAAAGGTCAAAATGGACCAATGATGAGAAGAGCGTAGGTCTATCTATTTACTACAAATCGCCCAGCACCTATAAGTTTATGATTACATTGGGATTTGTCTTGCCTTCTGTAAAAACAATTCAAAGCTGGCTGAAAATAATTAAATTAAGAACTGGTGTGAATTCAAATTTAATGAAAAAACTAAAAATGAAAGCAAGTACCATGTCTGCCTAAGAAAAAGTGTGTGTCGTCATGTTTGACGAAATAAATTTAAAGAGCCAATTAGAATATAATTCTTACGAAGATCTAATTGAAGGTTTTGAAGATTTAGGATCTCTAGGACGACGAACAAATTTGGCTACACATGGACTAGTCTTCATGATTCGTGGTTTATACTATCGATGGCGCATTCCATTTTGTTATTTTGCATCATTCGGAGCTACAAAGGGGACAATCTTGGAAGTTCTCATTAAAGAAGTGATTACGACGTTAAAAAAAATCGGTTTCTCACCAAAAGTGTTAGTTTGCGACCAAGCTTCAAACAATCGGAAGACTTACGAATTATTAGGTGCCACATCAACTAACCCCACCATTAACATAAGTGGAATAGATATTTTCACAATTTTTGACGTTCCACATCTTCTGAAAAGTTTAAGAAATAATTTTTGTAACACCAAATTACAATTTGTAGTCGATGGAAAACAAATTAATTGGAACGATATTGTAGATACGTACGAAATTGATCGAACAAGTTTAACCACCAGATCATTGATTAAAATAGGCCCAGCGCACATCAATCCTACGTCATTTGAAAAAATGAAAGTAAAATACGCGTCTCAAATTTTTTCGCGAAGTGTTGCAGCGGCTGTTACAACGTCATATAAATATAAATTACTACAGAGGACTACAGGAGATAATACAGCCCAGTTTTTGTTTAGAATCAACGATATTTTCGATGCATTAAATAGTTCGACATTAAATGATGCCAATAAACGACCCCTTTCAATTTACAATGAAGGCTCG